TCAATGTGCCCCATTCTTGTTGCCATGTTTATTTACTAATAATATATTTTGGGTACATATCTCTCTTTTTCAGACATCTGTAGAAAATGCGATACTCAGCTCTTTGTTTTAAAGTATGCGTCATTCAGAAAGCACTTTTTTGACAAATGTAGTGTGGTTGGCATCAAGTGTATAAATTGGTTGACAAAATGCAGTTTTTAATGTTGTCTTTTAATCGCGTGAATTGGTTGGCAATAATGCTGGTAGCAGCTGTTATCAATTTTGTGTTTTAAGAAAACCTGTTTTGCATAGTATGTGAATTTTCTTTCTGTGCATCCTTAAAATGTGGGTCATTTATCACCTAGAAGTTTTTAATAGTGTGCCATCTTACCTATTTCTATAGACATTGAACTTACAATGAATGCTTTTCTCTGTTAAATAGAAAATGGCAAACTTAGTATGTGTATGTTTATAGCTGACAGGTCAATACTAGAAATTTTCAGACTTTTTTTTTTTTTTTTTTTTTTTTTTTAAGGATCATATCTTGTAGTAGTATTCAGTATGCAACAAGTAATTAATTGTTCAAAAATGCCTAATTTAGGAGTTGAATGCGGGTCTTACTCACATAGGGTAGCCACCCCTTAATCTGGTGAGAATTAACTTGAAAGGACAATCTAGCGTTGTGCAAGTTGGCAACACTCACAAACTCTGAACTGGCATTTTCCTGCTGTTGGTTGGTGCTGGTGCACATGTGTGCATATGTGTCCCATTATTACATTATGTTCAAACAACTTGACCTTAAAAGAAATTTTCTGTCCAGGTATGCAAGCTTTTTGACCTTTGATGATCCTAGGAAAGATAATGCTAAATGCTGCTCATTGTAAACAAGATACAATTACTTTTTTATGTAAGTAAAAATATTGAATCTTAAGATATTTTACATCATGTGTCCTAGGCTGGCACGTAGATTTTTTTTTTTTTTTTTAATTTTATTTTAACTAGAAAAACATTTTAAAATGAACCATAACTTTAGCAGTAATGTAGAGAGAAAAGTGGCATGGATCAAAGATACTGAAATTTTATTTTATGAAGTCTGTAACAGTTATAAAATTGTGAGGATATTTAATATTTTCATAGATCTGCATTGCAAAGTCTTTAGTGGTTACTATGTCAAATCTCTTTTTCTCGTTCATTGGTACCTGCACATAGCACCACAGCTTGTCACATGTACAGAACTGTCTTGTGCTGGATCTATCCTTATAACTCTAGTCATTCTTTGAGAACTGTGGTTCTGTGGTTATATACAATAGTGGGCAATTTCTCTTCAATCCGTCTTGAATATTTTGTTTTCCTTTTTTGTGATGACTTTGTCGAACATATGGTTTAAGAGCCTTCCTAGTGTAGCTTGAAAAGATATTTGGATACATGTCAGCTATAAAAGTGTCAATTCATTACATTTTTAGCTTTGCATATGGTTTTCAAGAACACTCGTACAGAACCTACACTACTTCAGTATTTTTTGAGATGGATGAGTTTAATCTTACAAGGTAATAAGGGACTGATGATGATAGTGCTTAATTTTGAGTGTACTTTGTACACCAAAAAATGTTAAAAAAAAAAATGTATATATTTTAGCATTGAAGACTGGGCCTACCAGGTTTCACCATTACACTCTGGTGTTGACATGCATTTGTAACTTTGTCTTCCCTACCCGTTTTAGGATTGCAGCAGTGGACAATTCAAAGTGTGTGTGGTACATAGTTGCCTATGTTACAAGTTCAATGCAAATTTTCAATAACATATTTTAGAAATGACAAATACAAGATTTATGTGTATAGAAACAGTGAATATGATTTATTAACATCCCTTCAAACATCCCTTCAACAGATAGACATAACATGCTGCCTGTGCCAGGACATGCAAAGTTTAAGCAAAATATAATAAGAACTAAATATATGAGAAAGTATCTTCTCTAGGCTTTGGAACACCTAGGGGAGAATTAATGAGTTCTACAAGGAAACAGTTGGCTTCATTCAAAGATGTCTCTTTCTCCGCTCCTAGAAATATAGTTGACATTTCCAAGTCCATGATTCTAAGACGGACCTCTGCGTTGTTTACATAAAGGCTAAAATAAAGACACTGGGTATTAGAAGATGAGCATTAATAAAACTATTTCCCAATAAGTGATCCGAAATGTACTCACTGTGCATCCTGGCTTGGCCTCTTAACAACACAAGGAAACTTCCAATCAAAGTCTATGTATAAGTCATCACCTACAACTCTGTATATCCTTCCGATGACAGTTTTCCCTCGTGGATCACCTAGCTGCAAAAGGTGTTGTGAGGTGAATGGATCCGGCGCTAGTGATTAAAGTAATCCATTATAGTCTTCTTGCCGAAGGAAGAAGACAGTTGCTACTTACATGAGCGAAGTTCGACTCCCTGAACAGTGTGGCGAAGCTTACTTCTGAAGTGCCAGCATCTGACTTGATTAAGGTGGGATATTTTAATACATTACGGTGGGTTTCGTTGGCTCTTTTCATTTGAGGAAGTGTGTTTTCAACTACTACAGCTTGGTTAGGGCCACCTTCAGCCGAGGAACTGCTTTCTGCAACAATTTCGCTAGGAGTACCAGAACCACTTTTGTCGGAGGAAATGAGCCTGGTAGTTAAGGAATGTAATGGACAACATTCTTTCCATAAACTCAGAGATTTGTCTACTCGAATGCACGAAAGCTTTAAAACTCTGTGCATGAGGGCGGCCATGTTTACAGGTTTGTTCCTGCGTTCCTGCAGTCAGGAGACTGCAGCTGTAGTAGTCATGAAAAATTGAGATCGCCACCCCCCTACCCCCACCCCTTATTGGTTCTGTCTTAATCTTCAATGATCCAAATTTAACTATTAAAAAAAAAAATCAAAGGAGTGAAAAATGTAAGAAAAAAAGTAAAACTTGACAAGGACAAAATAAAAATATTTTATTATTATTTTTCAAGACAGTTGCCTTAAATTACAGCAATGTTACAGAGTAGTATTGTTCAGTCCAATTTCTTATCATTTACTAGATCATTTATATAGGTATCAAGCTGATTAGTAAATGCTTTGAAAGAGAAATGATCTCTGAATCGATTGCGCCCTTCCAGTCCTAGTTTAGCACAATTGTCACGATTCTGTACACAGTCAGCCATTGCTTCTGCAAAAGCTTTGGGGTCAGGATTTTTTAAGTACCCAGTCTTTTTATCAACAATGGTTTCAGTTGGTCCACCACTGTTTGTGGCTATTACTGGTTTGCAAGTGTACATTGCCTCTAATGGGACAATACCAAAATGCTCATTTGTTGGAGTATACAACACACAGTGGCATCCTGCAAGCAATGCAATTTTCTGAGTGTCAGGAGGTGATTTCAGAAAGATGACCTGAGACGATATTTGAAGCTGGTCAGCTTGGACAACCAGGTCAGCGTAGCAATCAATGTTTTCAGTGACTCGCCTGTCATAGCCACCTGCCATGATGACACGAACCTTACTAAAAACTGCTGGAGCAAGTAAATTTTTTAATTGGCCTAAAGCTGCTAAGGCTAGTCCTAGATCTTTTTTCTTTTCATAACGATTAATTGATAAAAACACAAAAGCATCGTCAGGAATGTCAACAGGAAGCACACTCGATAAGGGCTCTGGATTCAAACAGTCAATAAGATCAGTATTTATAGAGGGATACAACACGTCCGGTGTTTTTTGGATGTTGGTAAATGTAGACTTGAAAACGGTTCTTGTAAACTTGCTGTTGACTACTATTTTGTCTGCTTGCCCAGTAGTTTTTTCTTCTAGCCAATTGAGTGGAGCACGATATAGCATCTTCAGTGTTCCTCCAGGCTTACTGAGCAGCTGGTCAGGGAAGTGACAGTAAAACAATACTCTAGAGTACCTCAAGTGCAGCACTGGCACAGCATACGAGATCTGATCACAGAATAAAACGTCTGATGGAATGTTGTTAGAGAGCACTACATACAAGGCAGCGTAAATCATCCGAATGTAGGCGCAGAGTGCGTAGGCGTAGCCAAAGATGCTCCTGGGGAGCCAGTCACCGACCACTGTGACCGGGAAGGTGCCATTCTTCGTCTCCTCAAAACAGTGATTCTTGTCGTGGTGGTTAGTCACGAAGTGGACGGAGTGCCCGCGGCTTTGGAGGGCCAGAGCAGCGTCGACCACGAGCCGCTCCGCGCCGCCTATGCCCAGGTCAGGGTGGAGAAACGTCACGTAGACCATAGTGACAGTTTGGTTAGGAGACAGTAGCCCCGTCCGTTGGGCTCAGGTAGTGTCCGTGACAGCTGCGACAGCTGTGCACATGTGCCGGCCGAGCCGGGCAGGGTCTCCTCACACGCAGGCGCGAATGACGTGTGCGAGCCGCGGCGCCGGATTCGATAACAACAAGAAGATTATAAATAAACAAACAGAGAACAGCTGATAACAACAAACAACACCAACACCGGTGTGGTGGGGTGATATATTGCGTTGGGGGGGGGGGGGAGACAAAAGACGAGCGGAGTGGAAGCGCGCCAAAGGATGAGAAACACACGGAGCGCGTAGCTCACACCCCTTCTTCTTGAAATTTACAGTTGTTTCTGACCTCCTAGTGAGATTTATTTGGAATAATCAAGTGCGTTAATGTTCGATGTGTGGTTCTACATCGATGAAGTGTGTAATTTTGCACCGATGATCGGAAAATATTGCGCATTCTACTCGGTATCATTTTGCAAGTTCCGAGGATTTGAACCTGAACGGTTACAGGCACAGCAAAACCCAAGGCAAAACCCCACGGGCTTCAGGGGTGCGATTAGAGAGCTCACGGTGAGCTCACTTAAAGTACGTTCTCAGAACGTTTACACAACCCCTCACCCTTGTTTTGAGCGGTTTAGAAGGCGCTCTAAAAGGCGCTTCCGGTGAGCTCACCTTGAGCTCTCTAATCGCTCTCCAGACTGTATGTAGCCACATAGTTGTTGCTAGAGAGTTGTAGCTAAATATAGTTGCAAGGCGCCCACAGAGGGTG